AAGAGTTATGAGTAAACTTTTTCCAACTAAATTGCTATCTACATAAGGGTTGGTGTTTAAACTTCCAACCATTTGATTAAATAATGAGAGTTTTCATCACTCATGTTGACTATGGTTGGTAATATTTATTTTTTATTTTTCTATTCCTGGACATTCCATAAAGTTCCCACATTGAAGTGCCTTTTTGGATAGATCATATAATCAATTTTGGGAGTCAAAATTTTGATTTTGTGAAAATATATTCAAAACACTCATGTTATATAGAGTTGGGAACATAGACTGTCCACTTAAACTCGTTTTTATATGAATTTAAGCTTCAAAAATTTAAAATTTATTTCAATGTGGTGGGCTTTTAAATCCAACCCCTATTGCCTTGTGAAAAGGGCTCAGGCGGCATGCCCTTTTTAATTATTATTTGTAACTATTATTGTAATGCACTGCTTAGAGAATATAGGGTAGATCTTTTATTAATATATCTAGATAGAGATGATGTTAATGGAGGTGAATGTTGATCATTTAACAGTGGGGGGTGGATTTCTAATGGTCATTACCTGTAAATTTTGTTTTAGTCCTGTTAATGTTAGATGCTTGACCATTGCCTCTATAATCTCTTTCCCTACTTGTATATGAACAAAGTAATTTGCTAGTTAAAAAGATATTATAAAATCCAAGTCATTTTGAGCTGATCATTAAATTGAAGACAGTTAACATGCTGAAAAACCAATAGGAATAAAAGGCAATTAGTGATATCAGCAAGTGCCTGAGATTAGTTTGCCTCACTTTTATCAATATCGTCAAAAAGAGAACCTATTTCTCAATACTATGACATTTTATTTTTAGATAACGGAGAGAAGAATGTGAAATATTGGTAAAGATTTTTACCTTCATTTTAAATATAGATTTCAAAACATGTTTTATTTATTTTTTTAAAAATGAATATGTGTATTTGGATATATGATATTATATATATAATATATAAAAATGAAAATAATCATTTTATGCCCTCCCAGTCCCTCTTACCCGTTAATATATTTCTTTCATTAAATGATCATTTTCGAATTTAATTGTTCACAGACGCGATTATCGCACTGTAGGTTCTACAAGTGCATTCTGCAAAATCCTCCAAGCCTTGTGCATATTCATTTTTCGATCTCTGATCATCTCTATTAATTTCTTCTGCTTCTAATCATAATAAGCTATCTTACAGATACATATAAAATCGATCAGCCTCATGTGGCTCCTTCGTCGTCCTCATCTTCCTAAATTTACTCGTAAAATTAATTATGTTTAAAAATGATTAATTGATTATGAAGCTAATTTTCAATTCCAACTCTTACCTTAACCAAATGAGATTTCAAATTAATTAAGAAAAGAATTAGCTAATCTCAAGTATACTTAATGCACAATCGTGACTCACAAGCTCACAAAAGATGATTAAAAATTAAATGCAGTAAAGGATTGAATAAAATAAAAATTTAGATATAGCACCAAAATCACTATGATAGAACCTTAATTGGCAAAAAATAATATAATAATATCATATGATACTCAACCAAGCATCATAAGGTTCAATTCTAACAACCATTGTCATTACAATGTCATAAACATTACAATTTAGTGAAGTAAATAAGAGGTAAAGGAGAAGAGAAACTTTCAAAATTCAAGAGTTCAAAAAGAGTTCATCTATGCATTATAGGAAGAGAAAACAAGCCTAGCCATGCCTCATTAGCATTCTCATAACTTCTCCTTGTTGACCAACTTTTGAAATCACCATAAATGAAGACCTTGAGAAATATTTGGCCAAGATAAAAATGAAGTGGATGATAGATTTTTTTTTTTTAGTAGGTTTTGGTGAGAACTACTATGAAAGTTGAATGGTGGGTTTGGATAGTGCAATGGGGGGCCTAAAGTAGAGAAATGGTGAAATGGAGGTTAGGGTTTAGAGGTGTTCTTGAGAGGAAAGATGGAGATGAATGGAGGAGTGAAAGATGAATAAAAAATGTCAATAAGGGGATTGTGAATGTGAAGCACGAAATTCTCATTCTTTTGGGGTATTTGAGGCTCATTTATATCAATCTAATGGCTATGAGTCATACCCATTAAGTGTCCTAAAGTGATGGGAGCCTTGTGTGTATTTAAAAGTCTTTTCACATGATATTTCATGTATGGTCATGAATTTTAAGAACGAATTATTTAAATAGTAATAAATAAAAATGAAAGGCATATAATAATTTAAAAATGAATGAAGAAATTACAAAATAACATGATAGAGATGATGAAAAAATGCATAACAAAAACAAAATTAAGAGGTGGAATTGTCATGGAACCTAAAGGTTAATGACTACGTATCTAATGGTTGACTAGCAACAAAGCTGATTTGAGAAAACTGCTTAATTAGTACTTGAAAGATCTTGCATACCAATGCTGAATGAACTACGACCAAGGCAAAAGAGATAGGTCAACATCTAAATAAGATAAGGAGGGATCACCGATTAGTAGTCGACTGAAAATTAAAGAAGAAGACCAACCCTATCAAATTTAAAGGTTGGGTTTATCGATGTGTGCCATCTATAGGTAACCTGGCCTAGACTAGCCACTCATGAAAAGAGCATAAAAGCTTTTGGTTGACATAGTGACCTATAGCAATATCAGCCACCTTTCAAACCAAAGAAAAACTATTAACCCACTTCTTAGTTGAATTAAGGTACGTACTTAGTTGAATTTTGTGTTTTATGAATTTATTTAATTTAGATAAATTATAAAAATGTGGTGAAGTGAATTAAAGTGATTACATGGCATATTAGAAGATGAATTTAGTTATAAGAAATTTTGTATAAATTCTTGATTATAATAACTAAATCCAATATACTTTTAAAATTCATAAAAAGTACAATTAAAGTATAAAAAACGTGTTCTTTAAAAAATATTTTAATGAATAACTCATAATATAAGTTGAATTAACTCAAATTAAATTTACAAGATTAATGGAGAACTAAAAATTAGCAAATGATGAATTTTTTATTTTTCAAAAATTACAGTTTGTCCATAAACTTTCAAAAATTTGCACTTTTGCTTCAGAAGTTCTGAAAATTACAACATTGATCCAGATGATCTAAAATGTTTCTAATGGGCACAAAATACCCTTAAAAAGTGTTAAAAGTTAAGGAAAATAATATAAGAATTATATAGAGAAATGATAGTTGTCAATAAGCTTAGATCATACTTAATTATTTAAATGGTCGTAAAGGCTTGGCCCATTGTTTTTCTAAAAATAGGTACTTAATTAGATCAGGATAAGCTCACGAACTAAGTCCGCCCATTCAGCCTTGTGAGAGCTTGACCGATTGCTATCATCATGGATGTCAACATAAACAACCATTATTGTCGGTTTTATGATTTTTTATTTATTTAATTTTTTTTACACTCCATCTATCTACACAGTTTATCAAGTTTTATCCATTTATTTTCATGTTGTTGCTTCTATTTGTTTTTTCTAGACACATGAAATATTATTGAAGACCAAAAGATTTACAAAGACAAACTAAGTACAATGAATAAAACACGTGGGAAAAATAACACAACAAAAAACTTTAAATTTAATATAAAACAACATAAAGAAAGAAAAGAAATGATATCACTAGGACCATCTCAGTCCTTAAATGGAACTAAAAAACAAGAAATGCCATTGTTATTTTGAAAACTGATTAGAAGTTGCAAGGGGAAAATAGGGAGAGAGGATCAAATAACTATCATAACAGTCCTTTTCCATGTAAATGATAAATGTTGTCCAGATAACAAATTTATCACTTCTAGATATTAAATTTAAGAAAAAAATTAATTATTTAATTCTTATAATTTTGATCTAATTATAACTTAATCTTCAAATTTTGACTCGTTATAACTTAGTCTTTGAAGTTTTGACTCGATTATAAATCAGTTCTTAAATTTTGCCTCTTGTAATTTAGTCTTTAAAGTTTTAATTTCTTAAATATTAGTCCCTATATTTTAAAAAATAAAATTATAAAGATTAAAAATATCTATAAAGATTAAAAGGGTTTAATAATTTAAGATATCGGTAATAAATTTTAAAATACTTTTGAATCTTTATAATTTTATTTTTTTAAAATATAGGGATCAATATTTAAGAAGTTAAAATTTTAGGGATTTAATTGTAAGAGGCAAAGTTTAAAAACTGATTTACAATAGAATCAAAATTTAGGAATTAAATTATAATAAGTCAAAATTTAAAAATTAAGTTACAATTAAGTTAAAACTATAAGGATTAAATGATTAATTTTTTCTAAATTCAATGCAAGGAGAACCAAAATCATTGGAAATAACAACAAACTAGCTATTAACATCACAAAAACATTCTCATCTCTATTGCAAATCACTACCTATCGAACTGAAAAGCCCAAGCTGAGGCAACAACAAACCCAAATTATCAAGATCCATATTTTAAAAAAAACTTATACCCTTTAACCTATGAGAAGAAGTGGCAAAACCCACAATTAATAATCACATATCTTGTTATTCCTTTGAATAAACATAAATCGAGTCCCCATTCCCTTCAAAACAACTCAAATCAAAGGAAAAAACAATTCACATTAACAAAAAGAGAAAGAAAACCACCCATCCACCAATACCAGATGCCCCTTTCATGACAAAAGTTGGCAAGAGAGGCACCATAAAACAAAAATCATACAGGGGGGAAAAAACTCCTACTAATGGAGAGGCACCAAGGGACAACCTTTGTATATACTCTCTCCTGTCTTTATCTAAAAAATAATAATTTGAGATATTAATAATTTTTTTAATATTATTTTTACTTAAATTTGTTGATTATAATCAAAATAATTAAAAACAGTTAAAAATATTTTATTATATAGCCGGAGATAATATAATTTAATTGATTTATGATTTATTTACGCTCCAATGTTTAAATTTTCTCCGCTATAAATCTGACAGAGGCCAATGTGATAATATAGACCACAAACGAGGAAGCCCTAAAATTTGACTATCTTAATTTAAGACCACCCTCGCCGTCGCATCTCGCGAACACTAATCAGAGAGATACCGATCCCAATACAACCTGCGCTGTCTGTGCAGAGCGAGAAATGGCGACTCTAGCTCCTAAACACTTGTTCTCTACATCGTCATTTTCTTCCCCTTCCTTACCTTCAACTTCAACGAAGCATCTCTCTTTCCCATTTTCTTCAGTTCCCAACAAGGCTGTTCATTCACGTGGTATTCGGATTTCCGGTTCCATCTCTAATCCAAGCGGACCGAGCCCCAAATCGGCACGCGTATCTTCCGTGGCTGTCCCCACCACCACCGTTGAGTCGGAAACTTTTGCTTCCCGATTTGCCCCCGACGAGCCCAGGAAAGGCGCTGATATACTCGTCGAAGCTCTTGAGCGCCAAGGCGTTACAGATGTCTTCGCCTACCCCGGCGGCGCTTCCCTGGAGATCCATCAAGCGCTCACACGCTCCAATATCATCCGTAACGTCCTTCCACGCCACGAGCAAGGCGGCGTTTTCGCTGCTGAGGGCTACGCGCGTTCCTCTGGCCTTCCCGGCGTCTGCATCGCCACATCCGGCCCCGGTGCCACCAATCTGGTCAGTGGTCTTGCCGATGCGCTGCTTGATAGTGTACCTCTGGTCGCCATAACAGGGCAGGTCCCTCGGAGGATGATCGGTACTGATGCGTTCCAGGAGACGCCCATTGTTGAGGTAACAAGATCGATCACGAAGCATAATTATCTTGTTCTTGATGTAGACGATATTCCTAGGATTGTGAATGAGGCGTTCTTCTTAGCTACTTCGGGGAGACCAGGTCCGATATTAATCGACGTGCCAAAAGATATACAGCAACAGCTTGCGATTCCTAATTGGGACCAACCGGTTAAGCTGCCCGGCTACACGGCGAGGCTTCCCAAGTCGCCGGATTGGAATCTGTTGGATCAGATTGTGAGGTTGATATTGGACTCCAAGAAGCCGGTTCTGTATGTTGGCGGTGGTTGTATGAACTCAAGCGAGGAATTGAGGCGATTTGTGGAACTTACTGGAATCCCTGTTGCAAGTACTTTGATGGGTCTAGGAGTATATCCCATTGCTGATGAATATTCCCTCCAGATGCTTGGAATGCATGGAACAGTGTACGCTAATTATGCCATTGATAAAAGTGATCTGTTGCTCGCATTTGGGGTAAGGTTTGATGATCGTGTTACAGGAAAGCTTGAAGCCTTCGCTAGTCGAGCTAAAATAGTTCACATTGACATTGATTCAGCTGAGATTGGGAAAAACAAGCAGCCCCATGTGTCGGTTTGTGCAGATTTGAAGCTGGCTCTGAAGGCCATTAATCAGATTCTAGAGAGCAAAGGAATCAAGGATAAAGTTGATTTTCAAGCCTGGAGAGAAGAGTTAAGCGAGCAAAAACTCAAATTCC